TGCCCTTGTTAAACTTCATCAGGTTTTCAGTACTTCCATTAATTATTAAAGATTTCGTTGGCATTCAGGTATTAAAATACTGTAGCCAGTGAAAGTTAGAGTATCATTCTAGGAATATTCCTGATAGTGGGAAGGAGAGGAGACTTCTGACTGTACTACCAGTTCTGTTTTGAAATATCAGAATACTATTTCTGAACAGAATGCCAAGCAGAGACATCACGCGGAGTGCGTTACGCAAAGTGCTGCTACAAGGCAATCAGTCAAATGAAGCAGGAGTTGTCATTGTGAGTGTGGCAATGTTCCAAATGTGACAGCCTGCCTGTGCTGCAAGACAGAAGTCCCCTCCTCTTGCTCATGCACCCTACGCAATTTCCTGGTTTTGACTAAAGTGCTACTCCACTGCCATTAATGCAAAACAGCTTGTTTTAATGACTGCAGCTGTCTGTTAGGAGTGTGTCCGTATTTGTGGTCATAGGAGGCATGTCTTGGGTTTTGATAGTCTCCTGTCTGTAAGAGCTTGGAGCTGGCCATGGTCATGCTTGTGGTGTTTCCCAGCTGCTGTCACTTCCTCTGCTGTGGTGGCAAACCCTACTCCATTCTGTGCTGTCAGGGCAAGGACAGCTGCTTGCACCAGATCCAAGTGGGCTAGACCCGGCTCAGCTGTCTGCCTGAGGAAGTCACTCCATTGCACAAATCCCATTCCCTTCTCTGGCTGGTCTGGAGGGTCGCAAAGAATACAGTTATTTGTTTGTTTTTTCCGAAGTTAACGATTTTATCACTCTGAGCTTTCTGGACATTTTTACAAACCACTTTAATAGTCTATGTTAAGTTTCACAAGAGAGAAGGGAACTAAGTTAGTAGTCTGACATTCTCAAGCTTTCAAAAGTCTGAGATTTGCAGCTTTGGTACCTGCCCTCTAGAAAAAGTGTGTAAACATTCATTTCAGTACATTTCAAAAGTAACTAGTATTTGAGAACAAATCTGTAACTGTGAAAGAGATTAATTTTTCTTGACTAGTCTGGGACAAACCCTTAAAATCAGAATGACTAATTTTGTTCCTAGGAAAGAAAAGGGAAACTTAGATTTTTGTTTAGTTTCAGAGGAAGCTGAACTTACAGCTAAAGCAAAGGAGAACAACATAACATCTTTGTATTTTAAAGCAAGTAGAATAACTAGCAGTAATTGCCCAGGTATTCTTTAACAGGAAATAAAATCAATATACTTCTCGGCATTTAATGAAAGGTAACATAAAATATGCTTATCTTTCTGTTCTACTAAGTTCCAAATAAAAGGAGCTTTTGAAAATTGATATTCCATCACTTTTTGCTTTTATTTTCTCTGGCCACGCGTGATGATACTGCATCAGTTGCTACTTACTGGTGCCAAATTTTATTGCCTGTTGAATTATTTTTTTTAATTAATTTAAATGTTCCAGGTAGGCATTCTCACTGGGGGACACTTCATTTTAAAAAAACCCTCATCTTGTGGGCAAACACTTCTTTAGGTCATTCTGTTCTGACACCACGATCAAGTACTTTAAAGAAGAAAGCTTAAAGCTTGCCTAAAAGGATGGCAAATAAATTGGTTTGGCAAAATATTCTGTAGAAGGCAGTTATCGCCAGGAACTGGTGCTTGCCAACATACCTCTCCAGCTCCAAATATATTATAATTGATTTTCTCTAGGTCAAGGGGAATAAGAAGTGGCCTTAAAGGAAAAAGGAGTAGCAATCTCCTCCAAAAATGGTGTTTTCTTCAACTGGTCTATGTCAGAGGGAACAGTTCTACTGTGGTTGTGCACTGCAGTGAAGACAAAGCCAAAATTTTATGGGTCTGAAGAGCAGTACCTACAGAACGTTCAGTCGTAACATCCCGTACCTGAGGAACAGTAGAGACAAGATACTCCAAAATATTTGGAAGGCTTGCCTGAGGAACACTGTGAGGTGTTCACAGTTGAAAAGGGAATTTTTGTTGTTGTTGTTTTTTACTAAACTGAAATCAGAACCTTTCTTTTAAAAGAACCTCTCTTTACTTAAATCGCCTTATAATGGTCAAATTGTTATTTAGGAGTTTCTTACATAATACCAAAACAAATATTTGGATATGGTTCTGTCTTTGCAGTTTTACAGTGGGAAATCAAAGTATGAGGGGAAGCAATTATCCTTGTCTGTGCAGGAAGGTCTAGCTAGGCACAGTGAAGTTTTCAAAGGATAATGTTGTCAAACTATTTTCTAGCACATGCTTTTGTGAAGACTGTGCCTAAATATTTTCAGTTACTTTCAGAAGCCCTAGCACATGCATTGAAATCTCTCTTCAGCTGATGTAGATACTGCTATGAAAACTTTAGATTTTTAAGCTATTTAAGTAGATGCTACTGTATTTAAATGCAGACTTTTATGCTGCTTATGATTTTATTGTTCAAGTTTTTATTTTGCTTTTTGGTGCCTAACTTGGGTTGTTTTTTTTTTTTCAGGAGAAAGTGCTGAATTTTTGTGTTGTTCTCTTCCTCTGTCCCTCTCCTCCCCAAAATGCAGAAATCCTCAAACACATAATCATGTCTAACATCAAAACAAAGCGCATTTTGGCTGAGACTAGGGTGGCTTTGTTTTGTGTTTGAAGAAAAGGTGGCCTGTGAAGAGCTGTTCTGCCTTTATTTGCTGGAGAGGCTTTTGACACAGAATAATAATGCACTATTTTTGTCTGGAAAGAACTGTACAGTTGCTGCAAAAATTTGCATAATCATGTTGCAGTTTTAGCCTGTAAAATCTTTTTATTGATACTTTCCGAGTTCAAACAAATTTAATTATCGCACTTGCTGTCCCTTAAATGTTTGGATCTTAGTTTGCGTAGCTATCTTTGTGTTGTGTATGACAGTGGGACTGGGGCCACATAAAGGTGCTTCAATAGTAAAGACAGATATCGGTAATAACATGTAATACCCGTCTTTCCAAACCCTTTAAATGCAGAAATATTACCCCACGCGCTACAGTGTTTGGTTGTTTTTTGCCCAGACAGTAGATTGTGATATAAAAGCTATATCTAAACTGTGCTATCCAAAGGAATTACCCTTGTTTGTGCAGACTGTGTTAGCTTGGATATCTTTCGTCTTGATTACTTCAGCTCTGGGATGCACACAATCCCTCTCCTTCCCCCGCAGCGTTTTCAAAGCATGGAGGCAGTGAGGACAAGGATGTTTTGGCTGGATGTCTACATCCTAGGGATTAGGGACCTACCTAGCCCTTTAGTTAGGCCTGTGCCACATAGTTTAGAGGTACCCAGAGAGACTAGTTTTTTTATCTGATGAGGTTTTATATTCTACCTTAAAAATAAAAAAAGTACAAGCAATTTTCATAACATGAGTTACTAGATTAGCTTTACTGTTACAGTACTTCTTTCTTTATCCTATCAGTATCCATGCAGTTATTCCACTATAAAGATTCTCTGTATGTAACTATACTGATGTGCACACTTATTGGACATTGGCCATACAAAATGAATGGGATGATGTACTATTTTAAATAAGCTCAAGTCTGTGGCAAAGTTAGGAAGGTATGCTACACCTTCTCTCCTGCCAGTTTCTTCTACTTACGCAGATGTTCTTGTTCATTGTAGTGTGGCTTTCTGTTGTGGTGCATGGCTCCAAGTCCTTCTAATGGGGCAGAATTTCTCTATCACCGAATTATCCGGCCGTTCTTCCTGAAGCATGAGGCTCAGCTCGACAGTGTGGTTAAAGACCTGAAGGACAAGGCTGCAGAGACTGCAGATACCATCACTAAAGAAGGTGAGGAAAAGACCATTCAGTAACAGCATCAGGCAGGAGGAGTTGCCCTGGGCAACTCTAAAATTGCTAATGAATCAGGTGAGGAGGGTGTGGAAACTGTAAGAAGGCTGTGTAAATTATAACGGAGAAGTGAAATTTCGGTGAAGGTGCCAGGAAAAGAAGATTGCAGTGGATCTTGCTTTCTAGGAGTGTGGTTACACTAGAATGGATGCAAGCTCTAGGAGTGGAAGAAACAGCTAATTAGTTTGTCTTCCCACCATACATGTCACTGTCAACATTCTCTCTAGAGGCAGGTCTAAACATCCTCAGGCAGTACCTTCCATAAATACAGCTGTTGGTTCAGTGTATTCTTTGCCTCCTAAAACATAATCTCAAATACCTGATAGTACAGAAGGGCTGCTTTAATTCTAATAAAGAGCAATATGTGAAATGAGATTGTTTTTATATTTTTCCTTCCTCTGGAGATCATAGGATTCTTATCCTATTCATAGAGACCCTTCTTTAAGAAATTATTTTTTTAATTGGTTGGAATAAATGTTTTCACAGCCTGCAGAATGTTTAATTTTGGCTTTTATTTCCTTGCAATCTATAGTGGACCTTCATACGCTAAAATGTCTGACGATAGTTTTATGAATAAGAGAAAGAAATGTATGAAGTAGCTAAAATAAAAGTTTTTTTCCATTTCGTTTAAAAGACATTTATTTCTAAGATATTTCAAAGCACCTAAAGTCTCCTTTCTCCCAAGCAACATGTGCAGTCTCACTTACTTTTACCAACCTAAGCAGTTTTACTGTTGGTATTTAAATGATCCTTTCTGAACTACGCCTGAAATTTCACTGTGACCATTCCTGAATCATTATTGTTAGACATGTACCTTAAATAATGTTCTCCTGTGTTGCACACAGGGATTTTTCTGTCCTCATTCTATCACTTACTCTTTCTTTTTCCTATTTTTACATATAAAGATTTCCACATCCATGTATTTTCTTTTAAGAAATCATGCACACACACATGCATTAGCATTATTACAGCACTACTTCATCAGCTTGGTTGTATATTTCTTGCTGTAAGCATGTATGTCCTAAATACTGAGTGGCTCTGTTTTAGTGATATAATAGTTCTAAGTCAGTCTGTGCTGTTTATTGTGCTGCTCCTTTCTTAGAGTTTATTTTTTTTAACTCTTCATACGTTTGTTTTTTTTCATTATTTCTCTGTGTGTGTATACAGAAGCTATTATTTCTTCTGTGATTTTTTTTTGTGACTTAAGATTATTTTTTTTAGGCAGCTCAAGAACACTGAATAAACCACTTAAGTCTGTAGGCCTCTAAGATTAAATTTGTTTTTTCTGCAGCCAAAAAAGCAACAGTGAACTTACTGGGTGAAGAAAAGAAAAGCACTTAAATTATTAACTGGATAAAGTTTCCGTACCACCTCTTTCATGAAGCTTGATGTAACTGGGAACTGTGGTATAATTTTAATAATATTGCCTTGGATATATGCCTTGTTTCTGTATTCAACGAATGTGTTGTAAGTTTGCTTACTACTTTGCTCTGTCTTTATAGAAACTAAGCATTTTTATTTAAAAGCAATGCAGTGGCAGCATCTGAATTTTAATGAAAATATTATATTCATCTTCATGCAGAAGAAATCTTTCAGTAAACTCTTCCTGCAATAACAAATAAAAATTACATATCCCACAGGCTCTGCACTTTAGTTGTCTCTGTGTATGTAATCACTCTTACCGCTTTCACTGCGGTGCATCTAGTAACATGAAGCTGTTCTGTAAGGAAATACTAACCTGAACAGATCTTTTGGGCTATACAGGGGAATATGTGAAAAATGGTGTAATGGATGTATTCTCCACCAATACAGTTGTAAATTATGAAATTACATGTCCTAGACACCTGATGGTAGAGATTATTCACTGTTGCATGTCTTGCTGTAACAGTATTTGGTACAGTGTGTATATTCTATAAGTGGATAGATATCAAGTATAGGAAGGTAACTTCATTCAAGTGATCAGGCTTGTGTTAGCATGCGTTAAATTGCACAAGCTTAGCACCAGATGACAAAAGTATAACTCCTTGCCTCTTTTTGCTAAATAAGGTTGTCATCTAAAATTGTCACGAGTGTCTTTTGATGTCACATTCAAAGGCACAAACCACCTTTCGCTAAGGAGTGATCCCACTGCAAACACTTTTTCCTAAAGTCATGTGCGGTGTCTTATCTGTCTTAAGAGTCAGCCCCCACAACCACGTCATTAATGGGATGGAATACAAACATCAGGAGCTTTTTCTGGTCATACAAGTCTGCAATCTCTATGACAGTACTACGAGCAAATTTTCATGAGCACTGAAACTTCCTGAAGAGAGATGCTGTTGTCATTACTTGATATATTCCTGACTAATTGGTAAGAATGCAAAGGGGAAAAGAATACTTTTTTTAAAGTCTAAAACTGTTTACTCTTTCACACTGCAGTATTTTCTACAAATTCTGCATGAATTACTGAAATCTCCCTGATAAAATTTCTTTAAAGCCTACAGTAATGCTATGACAGCTCCTACCTCGCAGAATGTGTAGATGGTAAGCTTAAGCTTTTGATGTGGTAAAAAGAGGTATCTGGTCCACAATTCTAAGTTCAAGATTTAATCTTAAAATTGACCTCTGAAGACTTTGGTTTTTCTGCAACAGGTTGGTATATAAAGTTTCACTGTAAATTTTCAGATAGAAAAACTGCAAAAGAATTAAGCACACAGTGCAGTACAGGTCTGCTTTAAATTTGAAGGATAAGTATTATAAGCAGGTATATAAAAGTGTCTGGAAAGCTGGAAAACAGGCCTTAAAACTGTCAACTTGGATGGGAAGTATGACACATGCCATGCACTATTTTCTGTAGGACAGTGTGCATTTTATCTTTACAAGGGAAAAATGTAAAATACCACAGCTAATCATTCCATGACGACTTTTTGTTAATAGTGGATGTACTGAAGAGGACAAAGTTTTACTTGCTTACATCTACAGCCTTTGCTGTAGAAGTTTGAAGTGACTCACCATTTAAGTGATTATGGCTTTTCTGTAAGCCATAGTAAATCCTAGCGCTGAGTTTTAAACACTATCAGCTGCGTATATAGTCATCATGTAGCCAATGTAATTCAGTTTCACTCTTTGAAATAAGTAATAATAACGACATTTAATCTATTTGATTTAGGTACAAAGCAGTACATAACTTCTTTAAAAGCTGCTGATAAATCTTATCTGTCCAAGCCTAACAAGGTCTGTAGTAGAGACAAAAATTTATTTTTATTTTCTCATACTACTCAACAGTTCTGCTGCTATTATTGGGGATAAAACTTTTGTAGGGAAGTGTTAAAACATTCCCTTACATCTCTCTTAGAACTTAACAGGCTTTAAGTCAACTTCTTGTCTTTACAACTTAGTACTTCTTGAAAAGTGGTTAAATTCAGCACTCCTTTTGTCAGATTTCTAGTTGAAGTAAAACTACTGTCTGTTGTTAACAACTTGATCATGTTTGCCTTGATACCAAGAGAAGTGATTGAATTTCTGCAGCAAGCTATCCTTTCCTGCAGGTAGCCCACTGGGCTGGCCCCAGAGATCAGTGGTCTTCTCATGCGTCTTCACAACATTTATGTGACCTTTAATAAGTTGGTACACACATCTGCTCATGTCTGTGCTGAAGTTGTAATGTGCTAAATTAAAATGGACACAAATAAAGAGATTCTTACAGGACTGGTATGATGCCTCAGTCTGTCTTAAGAACTTTATACCTCAACACTAAAAACCTGATTACTTTAAGAAGGCAAAAGGTCTTTGTGGGACATTCACCTTTTTTTGCCCAAACCTCATTACTGTAGAGTGCTACAGACCTCTCTAAAATCCTGAAGGATGTACTTCTTCATGGCTGGATCTTAAGAGTGTAGCTGAACTCTTTTAGAGACCAGGCCTTAACAAGAGGTTGGAATACAGATTTCAACAGTAAGCACAAGTAGCTGCTTATGCAGTGCAGCTTTCCAGAATTCATAGCCTAGCTTACCTAAGCAGTCATCAAGGTTTAGTATTCTTTAGAAAGGTAGAGAAGAAAAATGTTAAAATGCAGGGATTTCAGAGTTTTTTTCCTTGCCTATTGGTTTATCTGGTGTTCCATAAGTGATTAAGGAAAAAATGCTGCACAGCTATTGGTAGATAGGACCATTAGAGTTCTTCCTGCTGCGACTGTAGGTAGGACTTTTCTTCTGCCAGCAATTCCTTAGTCGCCTCCCATGCCAATTTCAGACTCAACCAACAATTACTTCCTTTTCAGCATCCCCAGCACTCTGGTTCATGAGCAGGCAGCTGGGGTTTGGCTTCTACTCTCACAGTTGCCTTTTAGAACCAACAGAGCCAGGAGCTGCTTGGTTTCAGGTCAGCAGAGTTCACATTCAAGACAGCAGCCAGGAGGTGTGCAAGACAGCTTTTGAGATGGATCTCTGCTCTGCTGTTAAGGGCTCCCTGGAGTTCCCAGGAGGTGTGCTCACTGGCCATCAGCTGGAAGATCCCACTATGCAGGGATGTCTGTGTCCCTGTGGGAGAGCCAGCAGGTACTGCAGAGTGTAGAGGAAGAGAGTTGCTTGGCAGGACACAAGCTCTGGGGTAGGTGAACCTTCCTCAGGAGTAGAAGCAACTGTGGATGGCTCTGTAGATCCCACTAGAGCAAGATGAAGGGGTGGCTGTGGGTGGGATGAGACAGGTTTGTCCCTGAGCCCCACCTGGGGTCCCTCTGCTGGGGATACCACCTCTCCAGAGGAGCCAGCTGGCTGGGGACTCCCTGGCCAGGCTTTTTTACCAGGATGGGCTGGGGCAGTGTGCCGTCCTGGCTGCAGAGACCACCACTGCCAGCAGAGCCAAACGGCCTGGGCATGTCTGCAGCAGCTGACCTCCCTCATGTGCAAAGGGCCAGGGTAGCCCCTCCTTCTCCTGTGGGTCCCAGCTGCTGAGGAGAAAAGAGAAAGAGCCATGGAGAAGAAGTACCAGGAGAACACTCCTGGACCCTCTGAGCACCGTCCCCCTGCTGCAGAGCACACGGGAGAGGCATGATTTGGGAATGAGCGGCCCTGGGAGCTCAGCTCTCCCCTGCCACAGGGTGGTAGCGACAGACGTCCGTGCAGGAAAGGTAGCAGCAGCTCCAGAACAGCAGGAGTCCCTGCCTGCCAGAGAAGGGCCATCCTGCCCCCTTCTTCTCCAAACTTGTCGGCCAAGTGGCCAAGGCTACCTTTGCTGCCAGTGGGCAAGGGCGCTGGCCGCTGCTCTGCACCAGCCTTCAAGAAATGCACTGCACTCACCACAGAGCCCCACAGCAGAAAGGGACCCCAGCAAGCTGCTTTGGCCTCTGACCATGTGTAAGGCAACAGGGCAGCCATGGCTGCACCATGAGCAATCCTCACCTTTGCCTCGCCCTCAGCCAGCCTCCCCAGGCTACGGGCATGTAGTGTCTTTGCCTGGGGAAAGGGAAAAGAGGAGGTGAGAAGTGATCCACCTGATGCTGTGCTGGAGTAGCCTCTGGGAGCGGAGCAGAGGCAGGAGGGACACTCACAGCTTTGTGGCCACTCAGCTCCAGCAGCAGCTTGATTGCAGGGAAGCTGTGTGAGACCCAAGGTGCCTTTTCCCTCTTCTGCCAGCACCAGGGAATGACCTGGAAGTGGCTGAGCCCTGTGGCTCCCCTCTAGCACCTGCCTGCCACAGGCGCCACCATAGATCCAGCGCCAGGGTAGGGGGGCCTAGGGCCTCTCCTTGGGTGTCCCTGCCTTAGTGCCAGGGCACAGGAGGAGAGGCAGCTGGGGTCTGCGACACTGGGGTTGGCTATGACCAAGGCTGTGCTAAAGAAGACAAGGTCACTCTTCCTTGTTGCAAGGCCCTGGGTCACCTGTACATGCTGGCAGAGCAGTGGCTTGCATGGTGCCAGGACAGGCATGCACTGTGTTGCTTGCCCAGTAAAATTAGTATCTAGCAGTGGAAGAATACTAAACCCAGGAATGAATTCTTTCTGCAGTTTGTTTTTGCAAAAGGTGTTTCATTTGCACATTTACAAGGACAGGCCCCATCCTGAGAACATACCTAAAATGACAAGGATGTACTCAAAATCCCAGCATTCCTAAATCCTCTGAACAAAGTGAATTGGCAAATTTACAAATGGTTACGGGTATGCAGCTATACTTATGTTCTTGTGTCTTACACCGTGTTGTTGAAGAGTTGTCCTAACCATATGAAGACTTAAGAATTTGAAGGGTACTGTGCTAGCAAGCTTCAGTTGCTCACACCTTCATTTCTGACCGGATGAAGGCCCCTTCCTGACAATTCAAGCTACAGAATGATTTGACTAATGAAAAATATCTATGAATTATACAAAT